AACTAATACACAGAACTCAAGAGCCAAGCAGGCCATAAGGCCGCATTCCACTATATACACTACAGGGCCGGCTCTATTTTGAAGATTGGTATTTACATAAAGTGATTATTAATTAATAAATTAATTGATTGATTGATATTGATATAATCGTATTGGTATTGGTATTGATGGTAATATTGTTGGTATTAATAAATTAATTGATTGATTGATATTGATATAATCGTATTGGTATTGGTATTGATGGTAATATTGTTGGTATTAATGCTGATGTTGATATTGGCATTATAGATATTGATATTAGTATTAATATTGATTGATTAGTTGGTTGATACTGATATTAACGTTAATATTGATTAATTGATTGATTGGTTGATATTGGTATTGATTATTTGTATTATTTGGTATTAGTATTGGTATTGACTTATTGATATTTATATTGAATTTATATAGATACTAATTTAACAGGAAACCAGGCAACAATTGATCATTGCAGAGGGCAGCGTGCGTGTGTGAAGGGAAATCAAGTGGGTGCGTCGCAATATTATATTATTGTATTATATACAGGGTGTTCCTTAATATCATGTACAAACAAAAGGGGGTGATTCTTTGGCTTATTTTATGAATTAAAGTTCCTATAAACATGGGCCCGCAAACGCTTCGTTACCGATCTACAGGGTGTTAAAGTTTGGAGATTTTTTTAGTTTTTATCTTATAACTTCTGCAGTTTTTGAGATATTTGGCCCAAATTCGGAATATAGGTTAGGCTATAAGGCTTACATCATTGGGCATGCCAAATGGTTATAAGAATCTACAGGGCGATACTTTTTTGTATGTCATGCTCCCCTTTTTTCCCAAGAACTTTTTTATGGTGCGCTGCTGGTAGATTTTAAAATACAAAATAAATTTTCTGTTTTGTTTAAAAACTTTTTGGTAACCTAAAGTTTTTTCGTATTTGCGACCGTTATCGAGAAAAATATGTAGAACAAAATTTGTGAGATGAAATTCAAATTTTTAAAAGGGTCTGGTTGGCTTTATTAATAATAACTTATTTTTATTTATTTTAACAATTTATTCTACACTTCTTGTTAAAAACAAAATGCTCTTTGTTAAAATGATTTATTATAATACAAAAAACTTAAATATTTAGAAAAACAAGAAAACTACATTACAACAATTGTTGAAAGTGACCTCCTCCAATTCTCACACAAGCATCTGCTCTTCTTCTCATTGATGCCCTTACTCTTTCAAACACCCCCGGAGTATTTCTTACGGTTTCAAATGCTTCTACTATCCGATTTTGTAAGTCATTTATATTATTAACTGGTGTTGCATAGACTAAAGATTTGAGATGCCCCCATAGGAAAAAATCCAGGCTGTTTAGGTCAGGAGACCTAGGGGGCCATGGCTGAGGTCCACCCCGTCCTATCCACCTGTTTTCATATGCTACATTTAAATACTCCCGAGCCAAAATAGAAAAATGTGCTGGGGCGCCATCGTGCATATACCAAATACGGTTTCTTAGCAAAACAGGCAAATCTTCTATTAAAAAAGGCAATTCATGTTGAAGAAAATGCCTATATGACTGAGCATTAAGTCGATTAGGCAAAAAGAAAGGACCAATCAAATAATCCCCAATTATACCACCCCATACATTTAACGAGAACTGTTCTTGAAAATGCGTTTCTACAATTTCATGTGGATTTTCTTCAGCCCATATGTGGTTGTTATGAAAATTTATAATTAAGTCTCTAGAAAAGTTGGCTTCGTCGGTAAAAAGGATTTTACAGTCAAAATTAGGGTCTCTTGCTAGCCTGGCAAGGTACCATCGGCAGAAATTAAGCCTTAATGGGAAATCTCGAGGAAGGAGCGCCTGCACCCTTTGAATGTGGTAAGGGTATAGCAGAGAATCACGCAGGATACGCCAAACAACTTGATGACTAATGTTGAAATGTTCACTAATTTTTCTAGTGCTAGTATCTGGATGCTCTTCTATTTCATTTAAAACAGCTTCTTCAATCTGTGGTGTTCTTACCGTATATTGTCTACCTGCATCATTGGTATTCTTTTTAAAAGTTCCACTTTCTGCAAGACGCCTATGAATATTTGTGAATGTTCGATGATCGGGTATTATTCTATTATCGGGATAGCGCTCCATGTACAGGCGTGTAGCTTCTCTTGCATTTCCATCCGCAAGGCCATAGATGAAATGCATGTCAGCCATTTCAGAATTCGTATAATTTGGCATTGTTACGGACTGATAAGAAATTTAATTATAACGAGTCTTTTAAATAATTTTACACCTTGCAGTTTAAAACTTTAAATGCGTGCTGTCAATAGCATCGTTTTTATGTATTTTTTTGATGTTGTAGACAGTGTGTTGTCTGTGATGTTGTATCCAATAGCTACATAAACCATTTTATTTCAGATTTGATATTTAATAAGTAGTGGCAGAAATGAATTCAAATCATGTTTAAAAGAGTACACCATTACAACAATTGTTGTAAGGTAATTTTCTAGTTTTTCTAAATATTTAAGTTTTTTGTATTAAAATAAATCATTGTAACCAAAACCGTTTTGTTTCTAATAAGAAGTATAGAAATATTATTTTAAAAATAAATAAAAATAAATTATTAATAAAGCCAACCAGATTATTTTAGAAATTTGAATTTCATCTCGATAATGGTTGCAGATACGAAAAAACTTTAGGTTACTAAAAAGTTTCTAAACAAAACAGAAAACTTATTTTGTATTTTAAAATCTACCAGCAGCGCACCATAAAAAAGTTCTTGGGAAAAAAGGGGAGCATGACATACAAAAAAGTATCGCCCTGTAGATTCTTATAACCATTTGGCATGCCCAATGATGTAAGCCTTATATCCCAACCTATATTCCGAATTTGGGCCAAATATCTCAAAAACTGCAGAAGTTATAAGATAAAAACTAAAAAAATCTCCAAACTTTAACACCCTGTAGATCGGTAACGAAGCGTTTGCGGGCCCATGTTTATAGGAACTTTTATTCATAAAATAAGCCAAAGAATCACCCCCTTTTGTTTGTACATGATATTAAGGAACACCCTGTATATTATATAATATACACATAAGCTCACGCAAGCAAAGCTTGGAGGATGGAGAAAGTAAATGGGCAAAGCCCCCACGTGAAAATGAAGTGGTAGGCCATCTATTGAGGCATGCGTTGCACGCCTGACATAGGGGCCGGGTTTCAAATATTGATGCGATACACCACAGGGCCGGCTTTATCTATTTTGTATATTAATATTTTTATTTTTAAATTAATTTGAAAAAAAATAAGTAAGAAGGCAAAGATATAAATAAATGAAAACGGTATGAACACTAATATAGCAATAAAATAAATAAAGAATATACAAGGTTGGTAGCCGGAGTAAGCAAAAAACTAACATACCCACCCCCATTCACGAATACCAATTGAATGGGGATACTACTAAGGCCTAGGTTGAGGAGGATTCCGGATTGTACTTAGTTTTGGGTCAGTTCAATGTCCTCCAAAAACCCTTCCTAAACTGGACGTATGGCCCGACCCGGCTGACAAAAATCCCGGGAGCTGCCTTAACCTTTGACACTGTCATCCACGAACTCCTAGGGTGGATCTACCAGCCGGCGTAAAAACTTCGGATCCAACAAACACAGGTAATGCTGTGATTTGGCGGGATACGCAGGAGAACGGAAAGGGGGTAATATAACCCCGGGAGATCAGTGGATGACAATATATCTGGGGCTTGCCATACGTTCCCATACTCATACTCATACTCAAGTAAAAAAATCGAAAAAATTATTATATTTTTAATTTTAACCTAAATAACTTTTAAAAGTAAATTTATCGAAAAATTATAAGAGAGCTTTTTTGTACAGCGTTCAATTTCCTATAAAAATATGTATCACTATTTGCTGTATATTAACTTGCTCGGGAGAAAAAAAATAAATGTAAAACTTGCGGAAACCCCGTGTTATTTAAATGGTAAATGTATCGTCTTTGTGGCACGCTTTTTTTTTTTATTTATTTATTTACCCAAAAAGACCAAAGGTCCATAACAAGTAAAATACAATATAAAAATGTAGTGATTGTAACAAGTTTATACAATATGAATATTTTTTTTATAATTTTTTATAGGTCATAAACTAAAAATTTAGGGGCGCTGCGAACAAAAAAACCAAGTTGGTAAATAACGGACACCTTAATGCAACTTATAACTTAACTTAAGTTATAAGTATAATATATTATAAACTTATTTATTATATTAAACACCATGTTTTTACTGGATAATTCAAAAAATAAAAAAATAGTATGTATAATTCAACAAACTTGTTTTAATAAGCTTCCAAAATTTAAGCCATTTAGTATCATTTTTAACTTAGAATTAAAATTTGTTTACTTAAGTTAAATTTATGTAAATCTTTAATTTTTAACATAGCTTGTTGATTATTTTTTTATTACTTTGAAAAATCCGATATATTTTTTTTTTGATTATTACAAAATGTTTAATACAAAATGTTTAATACAAAATATATCATAATTTTTAATACTAAAATGTGAAATTTGACTTAGGGACAGGCATGGGCACACAGTGCGCTGCCTCGGCCGCAAAAAATAGTTTGTGTATAAAGCTGTACAGCTTAAACATTTATGCTATACAGTGGTTCATTAAACATTTTAAATACAAAGTTAGATGCATTGTTATTGTTATTGGTGTTTTTTAACTTGTAACTTATTATAAATAACAACACTCAAGTTTTTTTCTTATTATCATTTAAAGAATCTCATTCTAAATTTTTTTCCAATATTATACATTGTATATTATTAATTAATAAAATTATATTAAATGGATTAAATTATTCCATATTAAAAATTTTTGAAAACAAACGTAAAAATTTAATTTAAATAGTAATTTTAAGTGTCTATTTATGTTAGATTGTTTTTAATTTAATTTAAGCTGTTATTTTATTTTATTATTATTATTTTAGATCGAAACCATTTCGATAATCCAGTGTATTCATATCAAGGATCAGGAAGAAAAGACAATGAACACTTATTAAACAATACTAACACAATAAGGAATAATTTACAAAAAACAAATAATATGGCATTAGAAAGGGCCAGACTTGGAATTGCTGGATGTTGCTCAACAGATGACAGTGAATTTCCCATTAAAGGTAACATTTTTAATTACCACAGTAGTATTTTTTTATTATTTATTTATATTTTATTTAAATATTTTTAGGAACCTTTGGAATAAACGATGAACTAAGTTGTTTGAAAAATAGAGAAGCTGATGCAACGAATCCAAATATTTATCATAGTATTGATAAACTTGATCATGTATATGATGAAATTAAACAGGGCAACGACCTAAAGGATTTTGGTAAGCTTCAAGAAATTTAATATTTTACTATCTACTGGTGACTAAATATAAATTTTTATGTAGGTTTTTCTTATTGGAAATAGGCAAGTAAGTTTAGTGTAGCTTTATAGAAACTGTAATAAATTTCATAGTCACCAAACATCAAACTGCATGCCGCTTTGTACTACTATATAGGGTGGTCTAGAAAATGAATTAACACATGTTTACATTTTCAATGTAAAATTTAGACCACCCTTGTAATAAATAAATAAATTTAGATTCTACTATGGAAATCCTATTTATATCTTGCAGGTTTATAAGATATTTAAAATAAATATATTATTATTACTATGCATCTTAAAAACGAAGCAAAAACTTAACGTTCTTTATATTTTTGATATTAGAATATGTTTATAAACTGTGTTGCATAAACTACCAGATACCTGCTTATCTTAGACCATATAACACTTAACGCGTAAACAAACACGATTTGTGGCTTGAAGATGTATTTTGACAGTTGTTTTGGGTTTTGTATTGTTTTGAGTCGTTTTTGTACGAGAAAACAACTTAAAATGGTAGCGCATCCCTGCTTAAAATACCCCATAGAGACCATGTTCAAACCGATAGATATTTGTATCGGAATGTATGGTGTTTCTATAGGGTGTATTGGTATGTATAGGACCCATAGTTGGGATTAATGGTTGTTCTATAGGGATATCCACCATTGATTTATTTGCTATTGGTTTCAATGGGGAAAATACACATAAATGTAGAAACTAGTTTTTTCCCATAGGACCACATAGGTTTTAATACAATTTTTTCAAATGTTTTGTGGTTGCTCTATAGGGATATCCCTATATCGATGACTTTCTGCCAAAGTATCGCAAGCAACATAATTCAAATTTCGGTAATTGAAATTTTATTTGTTTTAAAGTCTGTTTTAAACCATATATAACCTATAGTTTTTATAACAAGTAAATAGCTATAATTATAAGCTATTTACTTGTTATAAAACCTGTAGGCCATATTTAATTAAAAACAGATTTTAAAACAAAAAATGTTTTCATTTCCCGACATTTGAGTTATGTTGCTTGCGATACTTTGGCAGAAAGTCATCGATATATCCTTCATTCAGTTATTTGCTATCGGTCTCTATAGGAAAAATGTAAAAGTTATGGTGTGCCTATAGGTAATTTTCTATACATTTTCTATCGGGCCGTATCCGGAAAAAACCATGGACAAATGCACATATTAAATCCGGTAGAACCCGATAGATTATGTTGTGAAGGTCTCTATGGGGTATTTTAAGCAGGGATAGTTAAAAAAAATACAGTGCAAATGCAACAAAAAAAGTACAACACTACATCTGAAAAAATGGCCGTATTCAAGTTTTATAGACGTGAATATGGATTTATTTAAGATTTGACCTTTTATATTACCACCTCATGTGTGCGAATACTTTGCTGTTCTTATACTTTATGGATGTTTACCTTCATAGTCATTGAATATTTTGTGATAAATAGGAATCAGATATATGTAATTCAAGGTGCTGAATATTTCATAACGGGTCAAGTTTCTACACCTGAGTCAAGCGTTTAAATCTTCTGCTGATAAATGGTATTCATTATGTCTTAGATGGAGGTTTTTGGCAGTGGCGGCTGGTGGATTTTGGGCATACCAATATCTCAGCTATTAGACATAGGACCCACACCAAATTTTTAATAGTTTATAAGGCCAATAAATATACAAGTTTGACCAAAATGGAATTTAAATTGAAGTTAGCGAAAAAAAGTTAGTTTTTCGTGTTGCCTCTCTCGCCCCCTGGTCCCCCTATTTGAGATAATTCAAATTAATGTTGTGCAATTTATAATAAACTATAATTTATCGAAACATTTAAAATTTTATTTAAAAAATCCAAATATTACAGATTTTCTACCATTTTAAATATTTTTTTATTTTAATAAAATAAATATTAAAAATTTAAAATCGTATAAAATCTGTAATATTTGGATTTTTTGAATAAAATTTTAAATTTTTCGATAAATTATAGTAGATTATAAATTGCACCACTTTAATTTAAATTATCTCAAATAGTGGGGCCAGGAAGCGGGTGGGGCAACACAAAAAACTAACTTTTTTGTTCACGCCGAACTTGTATATTTAATGCCATTATAAACTATTATAAATTTGGTGTGGGTACCATGTCTAATAACTGAGATATTGGTATAACCAAAATCCACCAGCCGCCACTGGTGTTTGGACCATGTAAAAATTAATATTGTGTGCTCTATACTTGCCCTACCAACAATAGCGATATGAATAATGAAAAACGAGACTCGTCATCCGAACATTTACGACACGTCACTTTAAGGTATGTTTTCGTTGTGACTGCTAGTCGGGACTGCCAGCAGTGTCTGGCAGTGACTGTCAGCAGTCGATGATAAGTGTTTTAACTGAACCGACAGATTTGGACGGTTTTTCTCTGCCTTCCAGTCTGTGCACAGCTGTGTATATTTGGAGCTTTTTGTTATTTTGAAAGGGAGGAAGAATAAAATGAGGAATTTCAATACTTATTAAATATGGAACGAAGCTCTATTTCCCAGTTATTTCGCAGCCGACAAAATGAGGGTTACTTTAAATTATTAATTTACAAGAACATGAAAAACGTTTTTTAGATTAAATAGAGCCCAAATTTGTTTTATAACTTATAATCCTAATTGTTTAATATTATTATATTCATTTTTTTTCCGTTAATAATAATTAATTTAATTACCTACTTGGTAGTTCTAGGTAAGTGTTATTTAAGGGAATAATAATTTAAACTATTAGTAACAAAATCGACTGCCAACTGCCAGACTACTCCTTGGGCAGTCGATCTTCGAACGTCGACTGCTGGCAGTTGAGACGGTTAGGCGAAAACACTTGCACTAAAATAAATATAAAGAACTATGCTACTGTCAGACGTTACTGCTGGCAGTCACGACCAGCAGTCGCAGCAAAAACATACCTTTAATCGTTAACGATATCGTCAAGACGAGTCGTCATAATTAAAAAAATATTTTTAAGCTTTGTTGATGATTTGAAACCGAAGCAGCACATTTCACTCGTCCTGAAAATATCATCGATGATAATCATACCACTTGTTATATTATGGGTGACAATACAATTCATTAATATTAGAACCAATAAAATGCCAGCATTCCATAGTTACGCATTTTATCTCAGCGGCAATCTTTTTTATCATCTTGTTTACACGGTACTAAGGATTTTGACACTTTTCTTGATTTAACATTTGTTGTCATTTAAATTCTGTGTTTGATATATATAAATAAAATAATGAATTATAAACTCTAAAAGATCGATGGGTTGGTGTAAACGATAATGAAATTAAGGTAAGTTTGAATAAATAAGGTTTATTAAAGTCTTTTTATATTTTAAAGCACATTTGAATTTTAAATGTCAATCTGACAATTTTTTAAATACTAAAATTCATTGTATTTTCTCACTAAATATAACTCGTGGTATGATTAATAATCGAAGATATTTACTCATTGAAACCGAAGCAGCACATTTCACTCGTCCTGCGGACTCGTCAAATCTGCAGCTCGGTTTCAATTCGAAAATATCATCGATGATAATCATACCACTTGTTATATTATGGGTGATAATATATTTACTTTGCATTTTACAAAAAATACACTCTTAACTTTTTGTACAGATATTTACTCAAAAATATTATATTATTTGAATAACAATTGAAGGGGTTAGAATAGAAAGGGTATAAGTGTAATTTCTTTAATTTAGGAGATAAGTTCGTTTTGTGAAAGATAAGGTTCCGACGTATCGAAATGAAAAGGATTTAAGTAATTTTCATACTTCTAGGGACCTCTATTATCCAGTAGAAAAACATTACTAAACAAAATTCTTCACTTTTTTATGGTAACATAACTTTAACTTCAAATATCTCCAAAAAATGAAAATGTTACTTATACCCTTTTTATTCTAACCCCTTCAATTGTTTTTTTTTGAGATATAGGTATGTAAAAAAAATGTTCGAACGAATTGTTCAATTGGTTCGAACTATTGTAATACATTGCTTTCGGGTTGCCTATGAAAAAATTGGCCGCAATTACCTTTAATTAATATTTATTTTCATTACTTTTTTGTCAATCAATTCCAACTACATGCGCGAGCCTTCATTTTTACCCTTATAGCTCAGAGCGCTCGCTTAGCATAAATCACAAACTTCAAAACGCATAGTCGTCAAACTCCTTAACATATTCAAACATAAGATCAGAACCATATTGCCCCTGTATCGCTTAAGTCAAAGGAATGGCGAACTGTTAAAAAAATTATAAATTTTAATACAGTTAATAAACAGGCCAAACAGCCGCCAAGGGGTCGCAATTCTGCAACAAAACCGTAGCGGAGCGACACTGTTGGTGAGCAATTCGTGGCGGTCATATTTGTATTGTTCATCCTATTTTATTTATACATATTTTATATCTGTCTTGTGATAAAAATGCTGTAATACTAAATATTTTTTATTTGATTTTGCGCTCTCTTAGCATACGATAGGATCGATACCCGGCGCCTGCATATAACTTTTTTGTTTGTTTACACCGATGCTTTCAAGAAGCATTCACGTGCTCAATACCATCAACAGGCATTCATTCATCACAAGGGTTCAAATATTAAATTCAATGTAAAGTGGTTTGAATACAGTCGATATTTTTTCGTTTGCAGTGAATTTTGGAAGTGTAAATTTGAATTTTATGTATCTAATAATTATAATACTTAAGTTTTCAGTTAACATAATATTTGCTACTCTACTGTACAATACATCTTGCATCCAAACATACGCGCGATGATTTTGATGCACATTACGCGTCCAGTGTTATAAGGTCTAATGGTGCTACTAATGGTCATAAATTTCCAAAATTAGACATATTCAATGTTAAAAAACTAAGATTATTTATTTAACTTTTTGCTAAGCCTATTTTAAATTACTATTATATTTT